TATACAATTTTTGGGGAATCAATTTCATTTTCCATTTGTTTAAATATTTAAGCTATGTGCCCAGTGGGTTCTGTTATTATCCCTACAGAATATTAAGCAAGATCATCTAAACTATCTATTGTGCAACTTCTCGGAAGTTTACCTCAAGTTGTCTAGCTTAGGTAAACAAAGATTTAAAGACAATCAAATCTAGAATTTAACATCCATAAAGGTGTGTTAATAAAAAATAATTTTTCTCTCTAAAATAATCCTCATTTCCAGAGATAGCCAAATCAGGACTAATTTATTTGAAAAACAAGTCCACTTTTAACAAACTTGGCCTAATTATTTAGATAAGCTCAGTAAGAAGAGTGAGTGATCATATAGATCTTTTAGAATCTGCTTTGCTGGAACTTCTTTTTTTTTTTTTTTTGAGTATTTATTTATTTTATTTATTTATTTTATTTTATTTTTTATTTTATTTTTTATAAACATATAATATATTTTTATCCCCAGGGGTACAGGTCTGTGAATCGCCAGGTTTACACACTTCACCGCACTCACCATAGCACATACCCTCCCCAATGTCCATAATAACCCCATCCCCCCCAACCCCCCTCCCCCCAGCAACCCTCAGTTTGTTTTGTGAGATTAAGAATCACTTATGGTTTATCTCCCTTTGCTGGAACTTCTTATAAGGAATCTCTAGGTTGAACTTTTAATGGCCTCTCTGGGACAGAAGCCAAACCACGTAGTTGCCATCAGACATGCCTGCAATACCTGTTGATTTGGGTGAACTCAACGCTCACAATCCTCTCTCCTTGTGTTAGGACCACAGTTGTTGTACCACGGGTATCTCCACAATCCTTTCTTCATCATTCACTCCAGAACCTCAATATTTCACATCAGAAACATGTCTAGAATATCTTGTCCATTGGTTCCTCTCCCACATCCCAACACTTTGCACTGGCTAAGGAGGGCTGTCACCGCTTTGTCGTGGATAGAGTTGACTTCTGGGAGTGAAAGGAGTGAAAGTTCTCAACCAGGCAGCCCCCTGCTCCATAGGTGCTTCTTTTTTTTTTTTTTTAAGATTTTTTTTAAATTATTATTTATTTGACAACAGTGATCACAAGTAGGCAGAGAGAGAGGAGAAGCAGACTCCCAGCTGAGCAGAAAGCCGATGCGAGACTCAATCCCAGGACCCTGGGATCATGACCTGAGGTGAAGGCAGAGGCTTTAACCCACTGAGCCACCCAGGCGCCCCCATAGGTTCTTCCTTAACTCCACACCCATGTCAGGGAGAAGGAAAGGTTGGATCTGGTTCTAGCTGGTGACATTAACACCAACTTTTATCTTAGGAAACATCATGAACTGTGTCAGTGGCCACTTGGTGACTGTGGTACTTCTTGCAGGGACAGCTGACCTTCAGGGATGTGGCCATAGAATTCTCTGAGGAGGAGTGGGGACGCCTGACCCACACTCAGCGGCAACTGTACAGGGATGTGATGTTGGAGAACTACGGACACCTCCTCTTCTTGGGTGAGGAAGACTCATTTCAGATTTCCCAAACCCCACTCAGGGTTTTGTTCCTTCCTGTGAAGACTGTCTTTTTGGAGATTTCTCTTGGAATGGCTAGAATTCAGATTGAGGCAGAAAGGGAAATAAGTAGGGCTTTGTAGATGGGGAGAAAAATCTTCATGGTGTTTACTTCTCAGCCTTAGCTTCTCCTTCCTCAAGCAAACATCGTTGCTTGTGTAAATGAGTGGCATTTCTCAACCTTTAGTGACATAAATGGTGCTGCTCACATCTTAAACTGAAATTTCCCCTTCTGATTATCATGTCTACTACTTGGAAGTGTAGGTCAGGATGTGAACATTGGAAATTCTTCCTGTGAGTTCTTTTTTTTTTAAGACTGTTTATGTATTTGACAGAGTAAGATGACAAGTAGGCAGAGACAGGCAGAGAGAGGGGGAAGCAGGCTCCCTGCTGAGCAGAGAGCCCAGGGTGGGTCTCCATCCCAGGACCCTGAGATCCTAAACTGAACCGAGGCAGAGTCTCAACTGACTGAGCCACCCAGGTGCCCCTAAAACAAACCTTTTAAAACTCAGTGTCAGTTATATAGAAAACACTTCTTCCTCTCTCCACCCCTGCACACCGTCCCGACTTTGTTAACAACATCACAAAATTCTTTTATGTTGGATCCTTTATTACCCACACTTGTGATTTTTTTTTTTTTTCCCAAAACAAAACTCTGTAGCAGAAAGAAAAGTGTCTGGTATCTCATTGCAACACAGCACGTTTGTGTAATTGTCTACATATTTATGTTCAGCGGAGAGCTCTGTGTTCTCATGTGGTTGCAGTTTCTGGGTAGAATCCTTTTATGTCATCTAGAAAGACTTCCTTTAATGGTGCTTTTTTTTTTTTTTAAGATTTTATTTATTTATTTGACAGAGAGAGATCACAAGTAGACAGAGAGAGAGAGAGAGAGAGAGAGAGAAGCAGGCTCCCTGCTGAGCAGAGAGCCCAGATGCGGGACTCAATCCCAGGACCCTGAGATCATGACCTGAGCCGAAGGCAGCGGCTTAACCCACTGAGCCACCCAGGCACCCCCTTTAATGGTTCTTGTAGGACAGATCTACTGGTAAGCTTAGAGGGGTTTTTACTTGGGAATGTCTTCGTTTCTGCTCTGTGGAAAAGAATTTTGCTAGGTAAAGTATTGTTGGTGACTATTTTTCAATCTTTGAGTACCTGAGTACGTTATGCTGGGCCCCATTGCTGTTTGGACTGCTGAGAATCCTCCTAGTGATTTTCTAGGAGCTCTTGCACAAGATGAAGTGGATTTGCCATTGTGTCTCTTTTTAGATTTATTTATTTGTTTCTTTATTCATTTATTTATTTATTTGACATAGAGAGGTCACAAGTAGGTGAAGAGGCAGGTAGAGAGGGAGAAGCAGGCTCCCTGCTGAGCAGAGAGCTGGATGGGGGAGCTCAATCCCAGGACCCTGAGATCATGACCTGAGCCAAAGGCAGGGGCTTAACACATTGAGCCACCCAGGTGCCCCTGTCATTGTGTTTCAAAAGTCTCTCTTCATCTGTGGTGTTTGATGGGTTAATTACAACATGTTGTGAGTCATCCCATTCTTTGTGTGTGGTCTGCTGTATATACCATAGTTTTATAAGGAAGTAATTTGAAGAAATAAAATATGAAGGCAATCATAATGAAAAGACATTTACTGTAGTGCACTGGATTTATCAAGCAAACTTCTCTAAGTGGGCCGTTATTGATGAAAAGCACATTATGCAATGGTTAAATGTGTTTGTTAGCAGACCTGAAAGGACTCAGGGGCAGATGGATCTCTAGAGAGGGACAATTATTTTCAGTGTGATTCATTATTCCTTTTGACTCTATTTTGTACATGTAGATGGGTGTCCAAAGAAAGCCAGAGTAGAAGAAGTTTCATCAGATAAATTAGCCTTTTATCTTTTGTTTATACTGCTTTGATATTAGGGTACTGCTGATCTCACAGACTGGTTTTGAGTATATTTCTCTATTTCAAAATTATAAGATTTTTTTATTGCTAAGATTTTGATAAGGATTGTCAGGAATGATTTTGTAAATGTTAGATTCTTTCTCTTGTCCTGAACCATGGCTCACCATCTAACGCCCAGGGGTTCTCCCCAGTGATTGCTAATTGAACAATGTCACTACAAATATAATGATAAGCCATAGCTACACAATTCTCAAGGGCTATCGATCAAATTTTACCCTGTATATTTTTCCTGTTGTTTTGTGAGGATAGAGAACACAAGCAGAGTTTTAGGGTTTTGATCTGCACAGAATGCAATGTCTCATATTAAGCTAAAGACAGATTTTGAAGTCCCAGAACTAAGGAGGAAGAAACACGTGTACATACATACGTGTGTGTACCTACATCTTCAGAAGGAAAAGGAATCTTGGCTCAAACCAGGTCACTTCCAAGTTTGAAAAGTGATGATTTCCTATCAAGCAAAGAGATTCTAGATTCATAATAGAAATAGTTTTCTTCTCTGTATCGTATTGAATTTATGCTTCCTACATCTCGTGTATATTACTTTGGGAATCTCCCCATGTGAATCTTCTCTTACATAACTGGGTTTTACTCCTGTAGGATCTACTCTTTTTTCCTTATTCCTCTGTCGACCTGTTGCTTAGCTACCTGATAGAGATTTTAATGAGAGTTTCCATGGAATGACATGGTATTCTAAATTTAATTTAAATGTGAGAGTAATTCTCCAGGGAGCATTATAAATTCCATGTAGTTAAATTGATAGACTTCACTCCTGCCTGTGCGATTGGAGAAGTAAGAGTTCCTTAGTTACTCTCTTTTCCCTTCCAGGAAGTGATGCCATCCATGTTGGTCACTTCAGTGTCAGCATTTGATTAGTTAAAAACGTGGAGATTTCACGAATCCTTTTTTTTTTTTCTTTTTTAACACTTACTTGAAGGAAACAAAGATTGGACAGGGCTAGGTGCTGAGTAGATGTTCTAATTTAAACAGAGCACAGTGTTCTGTTAGGAGTGATGGAGCAGCCCAATGGAAGAGATGAAACAGATCTAGGCCGAAACATTGGCCTGCATTCTTGATCTGGGGAGAGGACCCCTGTCCAAGATTATACTACTGACTCTGACTCTAGAAAGAAAAATTGTACTTCCTTTCTTCCCAAATCCTGTCCAGTTCTTCTGTCCCATCTCTGTTTCGGTGATGGAGGCATCACAGCTGACTTTCCCTCCTGTGTTCTGGAAACCTTTTGTCCCTGCACTCCCCCTTCCCACCTAAGCCAGGCAGGCCCTTGCTTAGCCTTAGGGGTAGCTTGGAGTTTTCTAATACCATTGTAAATGGTTGATAACAGGATCACGTGAGGCCTATGTATTTTAAATACAATGTTGTCACCACTGCACTGGAGGAGAAGCAAAAATCGATCACTGGGCCACAGCATTAGTTCAGGCATTTGGCACTGGAAGTTGTGAGGACAGATAAAACATGATGTTGGGACAGTTTGAGAGGAAGGTAAGTGCTATGGAAATGAAATATGGTGAACTCTTGAAATGTGAACAAAGATCTGGTAGAGAGGTCCCTTTGGTCATTGCAAGGACTAAGGAAGCTGCTCATAATGAGCGAATGGACAGAGATGTGTTTCTGGGAAATGTGGTTGTCTGGGACGTCCGATGCTTTTCTCATGATGTAATGTATTCTCTGCTGTCCTGAGGACCAGTTGCTATTGGATGACAGAGATTATTGTACTCTCTGAGGCCCAGATGCATGGAGTGTATGGAGAGGGGGTATTAGTTGATTTAAAAATGGTGGGCATAGTTTAAAGATGTCACATGATAGAGTAGATGTTGAAGACAAAGAAGGCTGCTGGACACTACCAGTGAGAACCAGCCAGGTGTCTGTTGTGACTTAGTTCCTGCAGAGTTTGTCAAATTTTGTCTGGTCAGAATCACTGGGAACACTTTAAATGTGGAGCCCTGTGCCCAGCCTTACATTACCATGTCAGTAGCTCTGGGCTGCAGCCCCCCCAATTTCCTTTACCCAGTCTCAGGTAACTGTCTAGGGACTAGACCTTGTGACCCTATATCTGGGAACACATTCATAGTTGGTTTCTTCAAGAAAGGTAGTAGCCCACGGGTAATGTAGTGAAATACACAGGTGATGCTGAACATGTGGCCAGACCGAAGGCCATTCTCTGTTGCAGGGCAGGACTGTAGACTGGGTTCTGAGGCTGACCAGATTCACTGATGAGGCTTCCTGTTCATGCAAGCAAGAGGTTATGCTAAATGATTGGTCAGTGCTGCTGGCTTGGTTTTCTACCCAGAAGCCTCTGGGGTTGTCTAGGGTCTCTGTTGAGGCTTCCAGTGGGGCAGGATTGGAGGCTAGCATCAGCCATGGGAAGTGACTTAGAAAGTGCATAGCTACCCAGACAGAGAGCAGAGAATGCCCTAGTTCAGAGCATTGGCTGGACACCCAAGTCAGTCACAGATGCTGACAATTCCCCTTAGCCAGGTAGGTTCATCTAAACAGGGGAATAGGCAATCAGTGGACATTGTCTGTAATGGACTCCCACCCACACTGACAGCTTTGGTTAAAGATTTCTACCATGACTTTGAATGAATGCTACCTTGTTAGGTTCACAGAGTTGCCAGGGATGTGTCTTTGGTGCTGCAGTGTGCATCTTGGGTATCTTCCAGACCTTTGCAGTTGGCCCTATGGCCAATGGCGGGAAAATCTTAAAGTCAAATCTTCCAGGTACATTGACTTTTGGATCTACCCTGCATGTGACTGTACAGCAGTGCCAGGTGAGCTGCAAAAGATCATGAAGGAAAATGTATCTGTACTGTGGTGGATATCTGAGCCAAATCATACATGTGCCTTATACAGTATTGTCACTCTTCCTTGAAGTCATGTGGTGACCTCGTGATCTGCGGAAGCATTTCCTTGATTGACGTTTTAGTTATAATGGTCATTCCACTTATACTTGTGTATAAGAAAGCTTGGTAGTATAGTGATAGCATCTTAATCTTGGGTTTAGGACAGGTGAGTTTATTGTATAGGAAAACAGATGGTCTGTTTTCATGGCCAAGGATCGGGCATAAATGCTAGATGTTCCTTGAAGATACTGGGGTTTCCTATGCTCAGAGTGTCCAACACAAACCCACCGCATGTGCAGTGTGTCCCTGTATGAGTTGGGGGTGGGCGGCTGGCCAGTGGAATTAGTGTGATGATGTTTATGATGTTTGCTGTATCATGAGCCATAAGACACTTGAATTTTGACCTGGGAACCTCTTGTCTTTTGCCAGTATTGGAACACTGTTACAGACCAACGGGTCACAGTATAGAATGTGTGTCATCTTCGAATTTTTATATTAATTAAGGTTATCCATGGACTTTATTCAAAACAAAATAGACATTCATAGGTCTGTTTCTTGTTTGTCCATTTAAGTTGTTGTTTTGGTTGTACACATAAGTGAATACGTATAGTATTTGTATGTCACTTAGTTCACATCTCATAACACCTTCTGGGTCAAACCACTTATCACAAATGACAAGATACAAAGAAAAAAGCTGCAAGAGACAGAAATAAAATGTATAGCCTGAATGTTACCAGTGTGGAATGGAGAAGGATGATGGGCAACATGAGGAAGTGGGAATGGGAAGCACAGGCTTCCGTGGAGTGAAAAGAATACAGGGAACTCCTCCAGTGGTTTTCCTGTAGCATTTTATGGTGCCAGATATTAGTGACTATTGGTGAGTATAGCAGCACCTATAGAGTTGTTGAATCCCCATGGTGTACACCTAATGTAATGGGACATTGTAAAGTATATATTAATAGAAAGGAAATCAAGATGGGTATCAAGAAGCATATACATGTGTAGATTAAAGTAGTGTCCTAGGAAGTTGCAGGTAAAGAAATCTAAACCTGCTCTTCCAAAGAAGCTAATCCTCAGTACTCACAGTAGGATAAAGTCCTAGGAAAGCAAACTGATAAACATTCCTCAGTGTAGAAGGGAAGGGACAGGGGAAGAGAAGCATGTGCCCAGCAGAGCAAAGAAGGGAACTGGAAGACCAAGAAGATCCTGTGGTCCTCACAGGCAGCCCAGGAAGAGCAGCCCAGGCCGTCCATGGAAGAACAGTCATTTCTGTGAGAGCTTCTTAACTCCATTTCCTTGAATTTGGTCTCTCTCCTCTCACCACTGAGGAGCATCAGAAAGGCTTTTCCTTGGAAGTGAATTCTTTGGGGAAGACCAGAAAGTGCAATCGGGTTGTAAAGCTGCTCATTTTAGGCAAAGTCAGTTTTTAGAGGGAACTCTAGGTTCAAAGAAGTGATCCTGTACCCTGACCATGGGTATTAGTAAAAATGCAGGGGAAACTTGAAATTGATAAAGGCCATGGATGCAGTGGGGTCCAAGATACAAAACCCAGCGTTGCAGCCAGAAGCTATTTGCACCTGCATTTCTTGTGAAGGAGGGAGCTGTTTCCATGAGTATGGTGGTATGGGAAATTGAAGAAAGAAAAATAGGAGGTCCAGAGAAGAGTGATTGGGTTAAGTTTGTTATGCAGGAGTAGGGTTGGCTTGAATGAAGAGTGAAGGGAGGCAAAGGACTCCATACTCACCTGTATGCTCTGCCCCCTTTTTAGGAACCTTTGAAACTATCGTGATTCAGTCCTGGAATTTTGGCGGAGCATGCATTGTTGATCAGTGCCACATGTGTGAAAAGTAGAAACTCAGACACCACCCAAACATGCAAATCAGACTATAAATTATAACAGGATCTTCAGTTCATTGTCATTCACATTAACATTGGTGACGTGCACTTCTAGCTCAGCCAGACTCTTACATTATTCTACTCCTGACGTCAGGTCTGTAGGACATCAGTTTGATATCTGTGCCTTGTATGCCATAAATCAGGATATATGCTCTTCACTTCCCAGATTACTTTGGGTATGGGTTATCCCATAACATCTACGTAAATTTAGGATGGATTTTGATCTTTGTGCAAAAATGGCATTGGAGTTTTGGTAGAGATTGCATTTTGTGTAGATCGCTTCAAGATTTATTGTGTTTCAATTATTCCAGTGAAAGAATATAGTTAGTTTTCCTACATAGGAAACCTAACCATAGGTTAGGTTTCTAGGATTCCTGAAGAGTATCTTGCACTTTTCATCGTTTCTGGTTTGACCTCTACCATTATGTTAAATTGGAAGCATTTATTGGGGTGGGGGGTTGTTGTAAATGTATGATGTCTCTGTTTTGGGAATTGTTCTTTGTTGTGTAGAAACAAAGCTAATTTTTAATGTGTTGGTTTGTGTACCAGCTTTATAAAATCCATATGAGTTTTAGCAGGATTAAAACAATAAGGATTCCTAGGAGAAGAAATGGCAGTGGTGTAGGAGGGTCCTAGACTCATTTGTCCTGTCATGAGCAGCACTACGTAAAAGTCAGGTCATCCTAAATTCCCCAGACATTGGGCTGAAGAGTGACAGGAGAAACTCCTCAAGTAATAGTAGAGAAGAGGCCACATGGAAGATGGAGATTGTGTGGAGACATGGTTTAGAGAGGAAAGGAGTATAGCATCGTGGAGGGCAGGGAGCCTTGGTTGTGTGGTAGGTTTCATGACAGAGGAGCACTCAGGGGAATGCCTAAGGAAGTTTCCCAAAGCCATTGGCTTGGAGAGGGAGAAGGGCTAAATTTCATGAGTTCTTGGAACGAGCACATCTTAAAGCCTGGAGGTTTAATGGTCAGCAGGTTTGGATGGTATAGAATCAGGAGGACACCTGGGTGCTCTTTGAGAGAAGGCTGGCAAACAACCTGGGGGCACCCAGCATGGAAACAGTCATCTGGAGAACACCTGAGGTGCATAGTGGGGAGAGTATTCAGTAGTCTAGGAGCACATTCCTGAGAGGAAACATTCAGTGACATGTGGCTTCCAAAACATGGGAGCCCTCTCCTGTCCTGTAGCATAAAGACTGAACCCCACTCAGTGAGGACACTGGCTGTCTGCCTTGCTTGCACCAGGCCTCACCCCCTGTGATCTGAGGGGACTTCCCTTCTCAGTGAGGCTTGCCTCAGGCTAAGCCAGATCAGCCCCTGCCCACATCACATCTCCTGACCAGGGATTCTTCAGGGCTGCAGTCCTGGTGGAGTTGATGTCAGGTCTCCTTTCACAATTGGAGCAGAGCTCACCTAGTTCAAACTGGCCACATTCAGGCCAGGGACCAAACACTGCCCATAGCAGGCAAGGAGAGACCCTGCAGACCACTGGTCTGAAGGATACAACAGGACACATCACTGACTTTTGTAATGGACAGAGGAAAGTAGAGACTTAGAGAAATGCCAAGATGAAAGAATTTATCCCAAGGAAAACCAGCAGATAAGACCAAGCCCAGAGATCCAGTGGAAACAGTAGTAAGGAGCTTGATGGAGAATTTAAGGTCGCAATCATAAGGATACTCAAGGAGTGAGAAAACAATAGTGAGAATTTTACCACAGAGATAAGAGTTAAAATATAATTGGGTGCTTGGTGGCTCACGTGGGTAAGTACTGACTCTTGATTTCTGCTCAGATCTTGATCTCAGGGTCCTGGGATAGAGGCTCAAGTCATACTGTATTCAGTTTGATGGCTGCATGGGATTCCCTCTCTCTGTAGCTCCCACCCAAAATCTTGTGATTCCCCCCCTTAAAAAATTGTTGCCTCTTATAATTTTATTCCTACAGTCAGTTATACTTTGTCCTCTTTCACTTCTTCACTTGTCATTATACTCAGTCTTTTTTCTGTTATTCTTTATTTAGTTCATGGGCTGTCAGTGCTGTTTATCTTTTCTGCCAAACAGCTCTTCCTGTGCTTGATATGTTTCTTTTTTTACTGTACTCTCTTTGATTCAGTTCAGTTTTCTCTTTTCCATATTCTCCATTCTTCTGCTAAGTTTCAGCTCATATGATCTTTTTTGTGATTGTTAGAGATACAGGAAGGGATTTCTGCTACACTGTGACCATATCACAGAATTATCTATTTGGATATATGGTCTATATGTTGTGTACCATGTTATGTTTTCATGGGGAAATGAGGTCCTGATGACTCCTTGTCAGCCATCTTTCTGACATTGTCTGAGTGACTTGATGCTTCTGTATTAGAAGTCTTCAGTATATTCTTCTGAATGTAGTAAGTGCAATGGTTTTACTTTTATTTGGTATCTTTCAGCTGTATCTTCACATGACACCAAGAGTTTCTTGCTACAGTGGAGCATAGAAGGTTCTTTCCAGAATGGGTCAACACACAGATACAAAGATAGTGCTGTTGAGATTTTACACTTACGCACAGACTGGGACAGTGATGGGGAGAGTGAAGGGCCTCAAAGAAATCCTGGACGATACACCCAAACCAAGGCAATTGCCCTTAATGAGAATCTCACTGCCCCAAATGGTGAAAGTTATAAACCGCTATGGAAGACCTCCCTTTTTAAGTCAACTGTTTCTGCAGAGCAGTGTGTTTCTGTCAGCACAAGCTCCAGTCAGATAGTCAACCATAGCGATTTGTGGACAGACCACTTGGAACATCTGGAAAGTAACCTAGTCCATGATGAGAGTAATGATTTGAGCCATTTGGAAAATAGGATTGGTCTGACTTTAAATCAGAGATTTAGAAATGAAGAACAAAGTGCTCAGTGGGATCCATTTGAGAGGGGCTTCACTGAGGAGTTGATGCTCCAGAATGACCAGAGGCTTTTCACTGGAGACAGAATTGCTCAATGCACTGAATCTCAGAAAACATTGAACCAGGGCTCCAGTGTTCACAGATGTGTCCGGGGTAGGTTTGCAGAGAACCATTATGAATGTGATAAATGTGGGGAAGGCTTTCATCCAAGCTCTAACTTCAGTATACATAATGGTCACCATTTGGGAGACAGTCCTCATAAAGATAATGAATGTGGGAAAGCTCGTAACCAGTCCTCCAGTGTTGGTGATCATCAGAGAATTCATGAGGGAAAAAGCCCATTCACATGTAATAAACATGGGACCATGTTTACTCAGTCATCAAGCCTAAACATCAATGAGATAATCCCTCAGGGAGAGGAAACTTACATTTTTAAGGAATGTGGTAAATCCTTTGACTGCCACTCAACACTATCTCAACATCAACGAATGCATACTGGAGAAAAAATACACAGATGTGATGAAGGTGGTCAAGCCTTTAAGGACTGTTCATCAATAAATGGACATTCGCAGATCTATTCTGGAGAGAAACCCTGCAAACGTCAAGAATGTGGCAAGACTTTTAACGATCACTCAAGTCTTAATAGACAGCACCAAATTCATATTGCAGGGAAAAATTACAAGTGTAATGAATGTGCCAAAGCCTTTACATCATGCTCAAAACTTATTCAGCATCACAGAATTCATAGTGGAGAGAAACCATACCAGTGCCAACAATGTGGCAAGAGCTTTAACCACAGCTCAACCCTTACTCGACATCACAGAAGTCATACTGGAGAGAAACCTTACCAATGTCAAGAATGTTGCAAGAGCTTTAACCAGAGGTCATCCCTTATTAAACATCACAGAATTCATACTGGAGAGAAACCTTACCAATGTCAAAAATGTGGCAAGGCCTTTAACTGCCTTTCACACCTTTCTGAACATCATAGAATTCATACTGGAAAGAAACCTTACCAGTGTCAAGAATGTGGTAAGGCCTATGCTGTCCCTTCACAACTTACTAAGCATCACCGAATTCATACTGGAGAAAAACCTTACCAATGTCAAGAATGTGGCAAGGCCTTTAGTGACAGGTCAACCCTTACTGAACATCACAGAATTCATAGTGGAGAAAAACCTTACCAATGTCAAGAATGTGGCAAGGCCTTTACCTGGAGGTCAAATCTTTCTCGGCATCAGAAAACTCATAGTTCAGAGAAACCTTACCAATGTCAAGAATGTGGCAAGGCCTTCAAGTGGAGGTCACATCTTTGTCAACATCACAATATTCATAATGCAGAGAAACCTTACCAATGTCAAGAATGTGGCAAGGCCTTTAACTGGAGGTCAGGTCTTGCTAAGCACAAGAGAATTCATTGTGGAGAAAAATCTTACCAATGTGAAGAATGTGGCAAGCCCTTTAGGAACAGCACAACTCTTATTGAACATCACAGAATTCATACTGGGAAGAAACCTTACCAATATCAAGAATGTGGCAAGGCCTTTTGTAACAGGTCAGCCCTTACTCAACATCATAGAACTCATACTAGAGAGAAACCTTATCAATGTCAAGAATGTGGTAAGGCCTATGCCGTCCCTTCACAACTTACTAAACATCACAGAATTCATAAAGGAGAGAAACCTTACCAATGTCAAGAATGTGGCAAGGCCTTTATCCACAGCTCAAACCTTATACAACATCACAGAATTCATACTGGAGAGAAACCTTACCAATGTCAGGAATGTGGCAAGTCCTTTAGCTGGAGGTCAGGTCTTACTCACCATTACAGAATTCATTTTGGAGAATAATCTTACCTATGTGAAGAATGCCACAAGTCCTTTAGGGACAGCTCAGCTCTTATTGAACATTACAGAACTCATACTGGAAAGGAACCTTACCAATGTCAAAAATGTGGCAAGGCCTTTAACTGCCTTTCACACCTTACTCGACATCATAGATTTCATACTGGAAAGAAACCTTACCAAGTCAGGAACGTGGCAAGGCCTTTAAGGTGAACTCACACCTCAGTCAACATAGCAGAACTCCTACTAGAGCGTAACCCATAAATTCCAAAAATGTGGGAAGGCCTCTAACTGGTGTCTAAGGCTTAGTCAGCATCAGAGAATTTGTAATGGAAAGACATCTTACCAATATCAAGACTGTGGCAAGGCCTTTAGACACAGCTCAGGCCTTACTCAACGTTACAGAATTCATACTGAAGAGAAACCTTACCAATGTCAAGAATGTAGCAAGGCCTTTATACACAGCTCAACCCTTACTCGACATCACAGGATTCATACTGGAGTGAAACTGACGAATGTCATGTATGTGGCAAGGCCTTTAACTGGAGGTCAAGTGTTACTGAGCATCAGAGAATTCATCCTGGAGAGAAACCTTAGCAATGTCAAGAATGTTGTTAGGCGGGGCTCCTGGGTGGGTCAGTTGGTTGAGCGACTGCCTTTAGCTTAGATCATGATCCCGGACTTCCAGGATCAAGTCCCACATCTGGCTCCCAGCTCCTTGGGGAGTCTACTTCTCCCTCTGACCTTCTCTCTCATGCTCTCTCTCACTCATTCTCTCTCAAATAAATAAATAAAACCTTTAAAAAAAAAGAATGTTGTTAGGCCTTTACATGCACTCAGTCCTCACTAAACATCATAATATTCATACTAGATAGAAGGCTTACCAGTGTATAGAATGTAAGAACAGAGGCACCTGGGTGGCTCAGGCAGTTACGGGGCTCCCTTTGGCTCAGGTCATGATCCCTGGGTCCCGGGATTGAGCTCTGCATCGGGCTCCCTGCTCAGCGGCCATCGTGCTTCTCCCTCTCCCCCTGCCTGACCCTCCTCTCTACATGTGCCATCTCTCCATCTCTCTGTCAAATAAATAAATAAAATCTTGAAGAATGAAAGAAAAAAAAGAATGTGGGCAAAATTGGTTAAAGAGTGCTCACCGGTTCATGCCTACGAGAGAATTCATATTAGACAATAACCTCACAAATATAACCAGTGCAGCAAGGCCTTTGTCCAGCATGCACACCTTCTAAATAGAGAATCATACTGGAAAGACACCGGTTGAATAATGTGGCCAAACCTCTAGCAGGCACACAACCCTTACTGCACATCACAGAATTCACCCTGCAGAGAAAATTACCAATGTAATGAATGTGAGAGAGTGCCTAAGGACTGCTCCCTCCTCACTGCCTATGAGAGATTTTAAATAGGAGAGTAAGGGACGCCTGGGTGGCTCAGTTGGTTAAGCAGCTGCCTTCGGCTCAGGTCATGATCCCAGCGTCCTGGGATTGAGTCCCACATCGGGCTCCTTGCTCGGCGGGGAGCCTGCTTCTCCCTCTGCCTCTGCCTGCCATTCTGTCTGCCTGTGCTCGCTCTCTCTCCCTCTCTCTCTGACAAATAAATAAAATCTTTAAAAAATAAATAAATAAATAGAGTAAGTGTACAAATGCTAAGAATGTGTCTGACCTCTCAGTGGGACTCCCAACTTTCTTAAATGAACATCATTGTTTTCATATAGGAGTGAAAGTATGAAATGTAAAGAATGTGGCCAACTGGAATTCAGTGCTTACTCAATATGTCAAAATGCATACTAGATTCATACTCTTGTAACATCGTGAATGTGGAGAGGCCTTCATTTTAGTATACATTGCAGCACACACCAGAGAGTGCTTTAAGGAAAGTCAATTGAAAGTTAGCAATATTTAGAAAACTATTGAATTGAACATCAGATGCCAATGAATGTTACAGAAATCAAGCCAATGGAATACATTACTCACCCTACTCAGACATTACCCTGCATGAAAATAGTGATTATAAGGAGAAATCAGACTTCAACACTTAGAAAATGTATATGGTAGTCTGTTGAACAGATTTAGGGGATGGACTTCTTCATATATATAAGGATTTCAGTATTTTTAAATTTTTACATTAACCCTATTTGAGATTTGTTACTAACAATATTAATGTGTTTCCTCTGAAATCACTCCGGAAAATTCCTCTGTTCTTCGTCAGTTTATAAGAACACGGGGCTGATTGTTGCTACGTCGAAGATATTAGATGTCCTGCTCCATTAAGTGAGACTCATGCGTACCTAATTTTCCATGCAAGAGGACCCTATGATATACAACATATGAAGTACATCTCAGTGGAGATGGTGCTTATGGTTATAACATTGATGTAAGATACCATGGGATAGGTGTTCGGAGCACACACTTCTGGATGTATTGACACTAAGGAACTTCCTCAATATTAGAAATAGGAGGTTTTCCTAATTGTTCTTTAAGGAAAAAGAGGTAGCCATACAGTAAACTACAAATGTATCTTCCTAAGTGCAAATGTTAAGAGAGTATGACTTGATGTGGTTAAATGAAGAAATCCTGACAGATGACTGCAGGAGGGTAGCTAACTCTTCCCTACAATGCCATACTGTTGGACAGACACATTTCTGAGCAATGTACCTCAGTCGTGAAATTTTTGGAAATAAGTACTCCCACATCCTTCTGACAACACTTGAATGCTTTTGCACATGTGTGTTCTGTATTTCAAATGTCAACAATAGAGTGGATTTGATATGTATTACTCAGTGTATGTATGATGCTAATTTCATTAATAAAAGAGTGGTGTTTTTTTCTTTAAAAGACTTTATTTATTTTGTTGACAGAAAGGGATCACAAGTAGGCAGAGAGGCAGGCAGAGTGAGAGAGGATGAAGCAGGCTCTCGGTAGAGCAGAGAGCTTTATGCAGGGCTGGATGCCAAGACTCTGCGATCATGACCAGAGCTGAAGGCAGTGGCTTTAACCCACTAAGCCACCCAGGTGCCCCAATAAAACACTGTTTTTTAACATACAGATATGGGTATGTCATGAATGATGTGTTATTCTACATCTAGTGTTCATCTATTTCATTGTGGGTTGTATGGAGCTGATCAGATCCGTCACCTGTTTGGTACTGGAGTAAAATAATATACCTAGGACACCATTTTCCCAGTGCTCTGAAGGTTTAAGGGATATTTGATTATTTTTCCCCAGTCCATGCTATGATTTTCTCCTCTTTGTGAATAGGATGATATTACTGTATGTGTATTACCAAGCTTTCTGACATAGAGGTATTGTTGGTGTTTTAGCTCATGTACTCCATGATACTGCTACTTGGCATTGGTTTTGTGTAGCCAACATTTTTGAAGGTCCTTGCACTGACAGGAGCCATTCTCAAGAGTGCATTCCCCAGTCACCACACTGCAGGGTGTCAAGTTAATGGAATGTCTCATTCAACAACTGTACTCTATCCTAGTGAGCCACCATCACTCCTTTCTTCCAATGCCTTCCTTCCCATGTCCCATAGAGAAGGCTCCCCCTCCCCCCAGAGCTTCCCTAAATCTGTTTTAGTCAGAATGTCATATTCTGGACATAGACTTGGGACTCTGTAGCAATGTACCATGGCCCCACATTAAAGTATGTGCCCCACATCCTGCATTGTGGGTTGTTCTCATGTGTCTATGAAGTACACATGCACATATGACCATCCTATATGTGTCATAGATACCCCATAAGAAAGAGAAATCTTTCCCAACTAGAGTGATCTGGTAACCTAGGAAGAGACAAAAAATATTTATGATGAGGACTTAGCATGTAGGGTAGGACAACTGTGCTGAGTTTCCCAAGTGACTTCCTAGATGTAGAAAAATAACTTGTACTTGTTTTATGACCTACTTATCTCCAGATCTCCAGTTGTATTCACCCTCATTTTTTTTCTTCCCTACGTAGGAACAATAGCCATTCTCTTTTGCCTGTGTTGTGGAGAGAGTGTCTTCAGAAGATGCTTAATTGAGATTAGACAGATGGAAAGCCAATGGGTATTAAGACATATAGCACGGGGATGTGGGAATTGAATCTAAGTAAAATATGAGGAAGGTACCATCCTTCAAGAGAAAGATAAGATCTATTAAAAGGAAATGTGAGGAACTCTTTCCCATGTGCAGAGGGACCTAGAGGTGGCTCCCTTTAGTCACTGCAAAGGCACAGGCAGCTGTTGCTGGTGTCAATTGATGAATACATGTCATGGGGAGAAGAGATGGCTAATGTGGGTTTCTCAGGAGTAGGGAAGGTCTGCTTTTTCCTGATGATATGATTGACCTGCTGTGTCTTCCTGAGGATTAATGCTATTGGATGTCAGTGATGACTGTACTTCCCTGCCTAGATCCATGACAAGGGATGGTGGAGGGTGTTTGATGATGCCGTCATGTGGGCAGCTCTAAGATGTCACGTGATAGAATAAATGTTTGAGATGAAGAAGGCTTCTGGACAGGGGAATAGGCTGGATCAGCTGGGTATGTGCTGTGCTTGCTCCCTCATTTCCCAGGTAGGTAACCCCAGTCAAGGTCAGATCCAGTGTGGTTGGGAGATCCTTCAGGGAAGCTGCTTCAGTGCTGTGCCGGACCTTCCTCCCTTTTTTCAGTGCCATCATGAGTGTAGTTCTAGGGGCACCTGGGTGGCTCAGTTATTAAGTGTCTGCCTTAGGCTCAGGTCATGAGCCCTGCATTGGGCTCCCTGCTCAGTGGTGAGTTGGTTTCTCTCTCTTCTCTGCCCATCTCCACACAGCACCACAAGTGCCTCTCTCATTCTCTCAAATGAAATATATTTCTTAGATGGGGCGCCTGGGTGGCTCAGGGGGTTAAAGCATCTGCCTTCAGCTCAGGTCATGATTCCAGGGTCCTGGGATCGAGCACGCATTGGGCTCTCTGTTCAGCAGGGAGCTTGATTTCCCTTCTCTGTCCGCCTGCCTCTCTGCCTACTTGTGATCACTGTCTGTCAAATAAATAAACTCTTTTAGTATATATATATATCTATTTCTTAGAGGTTTTTTTTTTTGTATATTTGACAGAAACAGAGAGATCACTAGTAGGCAGAGTGAGAAGGGAAAGCAGGCTCCCTGTAGAGCAAAGAGCCTGACATGGGGCTCGAACCCAGGACCCTGAGATCATGAACCAAAGGCAGAAGCCCAACCCTCTGAGCCTCCCAGGCACCCCAGCAGTTGGTATCAGAAATATTGCCTAGGGGAACCTGGGTTGCTCAGTGGATTAAAGCCTCTGCCTTCGGCTCAGGTCATGATTACAGGGTCCTGAGATCAGGCCCAGCATCAGGCTCTCTGCTCAGCAGGGAGGCTGCTTCCCCCTCTCTCTCTGCTTGCTGTGCCTGCTGCTCTGCATACTTGTGATCTCTCTGTCTGTCTGTGTCAAATAAATAAATAAAATCTTAAAAATAAACAAAAAGACAAAAAGACTTGCCTACCTGGAACAGACACATGAAAAAATGTTCATCATCATTAGCCATCAGGGAGATTCAAATCAAAACCACATTGGGTCACCACCTTACACCAGCTAGAATGGCCAAAATTAACAAGACAGGAAACACCAAGTGTTAGGATGTGGAGAAAGGGGAACCCTCTTATACTGTTGGTGGGAATGCAAGTTGGTGCAGCCACACTGGAAAACAGTGTGGAGATTCCTTGAGAAATTAAAAATAGAGCTTCCCTATGACCCTGCCTGCAATTGCACTCTTGGGTATTTACCCCAAAGATACAGATGTAGTGAAAAGATGGGCCATCTGTACCCCCATGTTCATAGCAGCCATGGCCACAGTCACCAAAGTGCACAAAGAGCCAAGATGCCCTTCAACACACGAATGGATAAAAAAGATGTGGTCCATATACGCTATGGAGTATGATGCCTCCATCAGCAAGGATGGATACCCAACTTTTGTAGCAACGTGGTCAGGACTGGAAGAGATTATGCTGAGTGAACTGAGTCAAGCAAAGTCAATTACATGATTTCACTTATTTGTGGAGCATAAGGAATACCACGGAGGACATTGGGTGATGTAGAGGAGAAGTGAGTTGGGGAAATCGGATGGGGAGAAGAGGCATGAGAGACTGTGGACTCTGAGAAACAAACAGGGTTTTGGAGGGGAGGGGGTTGGGGGTTGGGAGAGCCTGGTGGTAGGTATTAAGGAGGGCACAGGGTGTGGTGCATAAACAATGAATCTTGGAAACTGAAAAAAGAAAATAAATTATGAAAAGAAAAAAAAATTGACTACCTGGAGGAACAAACCATTCTTTGATAAATATTTCATCTTTCCTTTCTCCTGTGAATAAAATCCCCTCTTTGGAAATTCTAAATCCTACCTCCTCCTCCTTAAGTCACTGTGACACAGAAGCCTCACCTTCTCTTTGAGCCTCATGTCTTTCTTGTTCCCATACTTAATAACTTAATTGTTTTCTCTTGTGAAACTGCCTGACGTCATTGAGAACCGTGTAGGAAAAACAAACTTTCCTCTCCTCACATTCATTCTGTTGTGTGAACTGACCTCCATGCTTCAGCCCTGGAACAGAACGTGCAGACAGAGCCGGGGATCAAGGGCAGCCGGAGCTTCATTGCTTTGCCAGCCAAGGAGGCTTCAGAAGGTCGGGACCGTGAAACCTGCAGCCCACCCGGAGAAAGGGGCCAAGGGTTTGTTGGAAAATGCTGGATAATGGCTGATTTCCAGAGGAATTGTGTCTGTGCTGCCAGCCCTGTTCATCATGTTGTAGGGGTGGAACCAGGTTCCTGAAACAAAGGGCTGAGAAGTGAGTTGAAGAGGTCTGTGGAGAAGAGAAAGGTTACTTATTGGAAATGGGAGTCTCACTGAAGCATTAATTGCTTTTTTCTTTGTTCAACTTGATGCCTTCCAAGTGGTTTTCATTTCAGTCACGAAAACAGCTGTTGTAAGAGGACTTCATACTTTACACTGAGAAACCACTCAGTGTTTTCTGGAATGGCTAAAATAAAAAAATTTAAAAAGGATAACATCCAATTTTCCTGAGAATGCTGAGAATTAGAATTCTTGCATATCGCTGATGGTAGGGTAAAAAAAAACCAAAAACATGCAGTGTGGAAAACTGTGTGGCAGGTCCTTATGAACAGAAACACCTACTGAAGGGGACTATTTGTCACCCAAAAATATGTATCTTTGGCCTGAGCATTATTTTCAGCTGGTTATTTTGAATCAAAGGTAGATAAAGGAAAAGCTCTGGAAGGCTTTATTTTGCAAGAGACGTTTGCTTTTATACAGGAAAGTTTGGTCTGTCAGTGGTCTCCCTCTGTGTAGCAGAAAGAGGGAGAAGGAGGCGGTCTCCAGAAACACTGATGGTGGAGAAGGCAGGGCTCCATCTCTGCTCCCAGCCCCAGCCTTGGTTCCCCTGCTTGTCCTGGTCACCTCTCTAGTTCCTTCCCAGCAGGGTCACCTGTGGAGTTTCAGAAAGGATCTCCTCTGCGGGCCTCCCCCCTCAGATTCTGTCAGTTGGGCAAAAACAACACTGTTGTGTTAATTAAGGGCTCCCTGTGATTCTCAGGAGGCCAGGGTCGGGAGCCGAGGGCTTTCAGTGGTTTTCTGAGAGTGGATTTGCGGCTTTGGTCCTGGAGAGGTGACAGGGTCTCTGCTCCGTGAGTCTGGGAGGGTCGGGTCCCTGCAGCCCGAAGTTCCGATGCTGACGCTGAAGTTGTTAGTGGCGGTGGCAGGGGACCCCTCCCTCCCTACAAAGCAGGTGAGGAAAATGCAGGGATTGGTGTCCTCACAAGAGGTCACAGTTACTGAGCTGCTCCTGACACAAAGGACTGGGAAGTTGGGCCTTTTCTGCATCTCTGAGTCCTGCCAGCAGGCGAGCGGGGCGTTTTCTCCTGATGCAGATGTGATTTCCCCCCAGATCCCTCGTGAGGAAAAAATCTAGAGGTGAAGTCGAAGGCAGAAATGGCCGGTTCTCAGGTGAGCCTGGTGTCCCCACGGAGCCGTGTCCTCTGTTTCTCCACAGACCCTCACGTTTAGAAGCTGCAGATGTGGATGCCTCCAGTGCGGGTGCTTCTCGCTTCTGCCTTCACCTGTTTTTAAGGTCTGGTCAGAAGTGATACTCATGGTTAGAATGCTTCTCTATGTCCCAGAGCCTTCTGTCCTGTGTCCCAAACCTGTCTTCGATAGGGCATCAGCTGTTGTCACTTTGAATTAAAGTCCCATGTGGAGTGACAATATTCCGTTGGTGGCAGATCCGAAGGGGAAGGTGTCGAGTCTGAGATTCCTGTGGCTGATGAGGTCTGGTCCTGGGATATCAGGAAGGGAAATCACTCCTCATTTGGGCTCGTCTGGATTCTCAATCAGCTCTGTGCAGCTGAGGAGTAAGGAAATGCTGACATAAACTCAATGAGTATGAGTCCAGAAAAACTTGGAAACTTCTCATTCTAAGAAAGGGTGTGTGTGTGTGTTCATCTTTAGCACATGAAGGAGATATTCTACTTAAAGTCCACTAGCGGAGGGAGCCTGGGGTTCTTGTTGACTAAACTTGGAATGTTGGTTGAGCTCAGGTCAGGATCTCAATGTCCTGAACTAGTATCCCCGCTTCTGGCTCTGTGCCCAAAGGGGAGTCCTCTTGACATTCTCTTTCTCCCTCTCCTGCCGGTCTCCATCTCCTCTAAAATATAAGTCAGTCTTGGGGACTGAAAGTGGTTCAGTTGGTTAAGAGTCTGCTTTCTGCCTCCAGCTCAGGTCGTGATCTCGGGGACCTGAGATCCATCCCCACATCGGGCTCCCAGGTCAGCAAGGATCCTGCTTCTTTCTCTCCTCTGCTTTTCTGCCTGTTTGTGGTCTTTCTCTCGCACTCTCTGAAATAAATACAATAATTTTTTCAAAATTTTATTTATTGTGGCACCTGGGTGGCTCCGTGGGTTAAGCCTTTGCCTCCAGCTCAGGTCATGATCTCAGGGTCCTGGGGTCCAACCCCCATTGGGCTCCCAGGTGGGCAGGGATCCTGCTTCTCCCTTTTCCTCTCCTGTTCTGCCTGCTTGTGCTCTCTCACTTGGCTCTCTTTGAAATAAATACAATCTTTGTAAAGAATTTTCTTTATTGGGGCGCCTGGGTGGCTCAGAGGGTTAAAGCCTCTGCCTTCAGCTCAGGTCAGGATCCCGGGGTCCTGGGATTGAGCCCCACATTGGGGTCCCTCCTTGGTGGGGAGCCTGCTCCCTCCTCTCTCTCTCTGCTTGCCTCTCTGCCCAGTGGTGATCTCTCTCTGCCGAATAAATGAATGAAATCTTAAAAAAAAAAAAAGGATTTCTTTATTTATAAGAAAAAGAGTGAGAGCACAAGTAGGGTGTGCTATGGGCAGAGAGAGAAGGCTACCTGCTGAGCAAAGACACACCCCCACCCACCTCACCCTCACCTCATACTCCCCCACCCCCACCCTGCCATGTAGGCGGTGGTCCCAGGACCTTGTGTCTTGGCCTGAGCAGAAGGCTGATGCCCACTGACTGAGCCACCCAGGTGGCCCTATAAATAGAGTCTAAAAAGAAGATGAAAATAAAAATAAATCTTAAAAATGAAAAGAAAAGAAAGGTGTAAACTAGCTATTACTAGCACAGGGACGCTCTGCCGTCTCAGTGTAGTGTCTCTGTCAGTCACTTGAGGTCCCAGACATGGGTCCATGATTGGCTGTAAGCCCGTCCAGCAGTGCTGCTGGAATTCCCTGAGGCAGGACAAAAGTGGTGGAAGTTTCCTGAATATCTAAGAGATCAGCAGGCAGGAGGGCACAGGAGAGCTTGTCTTCAAGGGGCAGTGTGTGGGGGTTTCTTATCGGGGGAAGGAAGGTGAGGCATTCTGGGAAACCTGGAACTTGCTCCTTTCTGCTCACTGTACCTGGTTGTCAGAAGCCCATTGGTTCCTTAGGGTATTGGTAGTTTTGAGGTGGGTCCCCTGTTGGGCCTCCTGTTGGGCCTGTCTGGACTCAGCCAAGGGGACACTGGGGCTCTTCCTCCACTCCTTTGCTCAAGCCTCCTTGCCTAAAAGCAGCCTCTACAGATCGTATAGTGATTCAATTGTTTATATATATCTACTGTATTTCCAAAATTAGATTTATATTCTGAAATCCTGCTTTCAGTCCAATGGAAATACCAGTGATGATGTGTCCTTTTGTTATGCCCGAGTTTTCATGTCTGAGAGTCCACCAAGGAGCCAAGCACTGATGCAATCACACGAGGGTTTATTTGACAAGCTTAAGTTTGGGCCCAAGTATACCCGGCACAGCAGAGTAGGGACTTGGATCCTGAACCAGATTAGTCAGAGTTTTTTTTTTTGTTGTTTTTTTTTAAAGATTTTATTTATTTACCTGACAGAGAGAGTGATCACAAGTAGGCAGAGAGGCAGGCAGAGACAGAGGGGGAAGCAGGCTCCCTGCTTAGCAAAGACCCTGATGTAGGGCTCCATCCCAGGGCCCTGAAATCATGACCTGAGCTGAAGGCAGAGGCTTAACCCACTGAGCCACCCAGGTGCCCCTACAGTCAGAGTTTTTAAAGGCAGAGTAGGGGTGGACTCGGCCATGGGTGAGGACAAAGGGGATTATGGATGATGTAAGTCTCCAAGGATTTTTGGAAGTAAGGTCTCCAGGACCTTGAGGGGCTAGCCATTGTTGGGAGAAAAGTTATTTATTACCAATAATAAAAATCTTCTCATGAGACCCTTTAGATATATATCAGTGGGCCATATACTTCGGAATGATTCTTTTTTTTTTAATATTTTTTTTTAAGATTTTTATTTATTTATTTGGCAGACAGAGATCAGAAGTAGGCAGAGAGGCAGGAAGAGTCGAGGAGGAAGCAGGCTCCCTGCTGAGCAGAGAGCCCGATGTGGGGCTCCATCCCAGGACCATGGGATCAAGACCTGAGCCAAAGGCAGAGGCTTTAACCCACTGAGCCACCCAGGCACCCCCTTGGGAATGATTCTTGACACTATCTTGGAGGTTTAGAGATAAAGGAATTGTTAAAGTAGACTTACAGGATCCTGGTCGGACCTGTTGGGGTAGGAGGTTGGTCAGGTTAGGATTGTCCTAAGCAAAATCTCAAGGTGAGGGCAGTTAAGTCCCCAGGGGAAAGCCACCCTGTCTGTTTCAAGGGCTTGTCAGTAGGTAAGGAATTTTAATGATTTTCTTCTGCCCCTGTTTCCCACATCAGCTAAATTTGAGGTGGGATGGCGTTAATTTTCTTGGCCTCCACACTTTGATTTGCATTAGGCATTTATAACATTTGTTTCCATTCAGCTGATGTGAACTTCTTTTATTGGCTTGGTGCTGTCTGCCAGATCCCTCCCCTGTCATGTTCCTATTTTCCCTCCTATTATTTGTAAGGAACATAGGATACTAAGGAATATGCAGGAACTATCGCATTTCAGGTGTCAACTTCTTTCTTCTGCCTTTCTGTTTGTCGTTTCTTTCTTTCTTTCTTTCTTTCTTTCTTTCTTTCTTTCTTTCTTTCTTTCTTTCTTTCTTTCCTTCCTTCCTTCCTTCCTTCCTTTCTTCCTTCTTTCTTTCTTTCCTTTACACATTTTCTCAGCTAAGAGACAGAGGGAGCACGTGAGTGAGGAAAGGGAAAGAGGGAGAAGCAGATTCCCCACTGAGTGGGGAGCCCAACTCAGGGTTCCATCCCAGGAGTCTGGGATCATGACCTGAGCTGAAGGCAGACCCTTAACCAACTGAACGGTCTGGGTCCCCCTTGCTTGTAGTTTCTGAGGAGGAGAACAAAGTCAAAAGATGTGTGGAT